TTTCTTCAGCAAAAAGATCATTTAAAAAACAGAACTGTTAAAATGAAACTTAATAGTGTATAAATTCATAAAAAAAATAACGATAATTAATATTAAGAATAATATACAATAACTGTAATCTATGTAGTTAATTTTGTTATAAATCTCGTAATAATATATTTTTTTTCATTTATCTCATTTTTATGGCACATATAAACCGTGGATTTCTTTTAATTGAATATTACTTATCGAAAAAAAAAAATTTGATGAGAAATATACATATTTAATTATTTCACATTTACACATTCGACCTGCTATGTCACGAATTATCATTGATGTATTATCGCAGAAGCGATTGTAACGAAACGTTCGCGAGCATCATATTCTGTTACCTCTATCTGAATTCGAGAAGATGAAAACAATAATATGTTACATGGATCATTATTTACCAGTCTTCTCATTCGTAATTTATATAATAAATTCAATCGATCGCACATGCTGAATAATCCTTTCAATCCTCAATATTATTGGAATATTTACGTATGTAAATACTTAAAGTAGATAAACACATACTTGACTTAATGATTAACAACTGGAATGCAAATAGAGATTGAGAAAGAGCTGAGAATAATATTGAAAAGGCAGAGCAGACTTCTGCGTTCTTTTGCATTAAGTAGGCAATTAGGCACTTAATTCATAATTCACGGGCGAACAATGACTTAAAGAAGCATAGAACTGACTAACGCTTAACAAATAAAGCGCCAGGCAAAATGAAACAGAAAAAATGGATTCTAATGTAGAAGATACAAGCAAAAACCGATCTAAAGCAATGTGTTTGAGTAAAAAAATTTTTTTTAATATAAGCTAAAGCGAGTATTTTTTGAATGTCAGACGATAATAATAGTTAATTGTCAAATTGCAAAATGAAAAGTAAGGATTGCACTGGATAATTTCTCCGATCGAGTTCATATTTACATGCGGCATGCACGCGATAATAACAATCCTTATTCGAGGATAAATGGAACCCGATCTAATAAGATCCTTTTTCGTTACATGCAGCATTGGAAATCGAGCTTACCGAAATTACATTCATTCCCGATCCTTACTCGTTAGCAACACTCATTAAATACGCCTGATGCATTAAAAAGAGCTTGACATTATTTAACACTTTGTAATTGTAATTAACATAATTACAAGACAGACGTATTATACTAAGATAGCGTTAATAAAATCTGTTCTGAATGAGAGTGCTTTTAGGCAAAAAGTAAACCACACAAAAGAGGTCCACATTTCCACCTTGTGAGCGGCGATGAGTACGCGAAATTGAGGTTCATCATTGAGATGTAAATAAAATTAAAATATATATTATGGAGTCTTAAAGATTTCTTTCTCGCGTTATTTCTTTGTATAGGTATCGTAATGCATAGTAACATGCACTAAGAAAAGATGTAAAAGTTATAAATATTTATTTGAATAGTATATACCAACTAAATATTTATTTCCAGTAAATGAATGTTTATATATACTCAATAAAAAAAATTTTTTACTTAATAAATCATGTTAATTAAATCAAATTAATTCTTATACATCAAATAAATGATTTATTAAGATTTAGTTTATTTTTTTCAGTAATAAACACAGATAAGAAGACTATGAGCGATATACATAATCGAATCTTATACTTAGGACCGTCTATGATGAATTAATCAGAGACGTATCAGCATCTCAAGATGATCTTAAAATAAGAACGAATCTCTTCTATTATGAATCTCTTCTATTCAATTAAAGCAGATCCTAATGCCTATTAATATTTATTATTAGGCATTAAAATTAGGCAGTAAATTTCTACAATTTCCAATTCAAGCAAATTGTGTGCCGATTGTTTATCGGTCTTGAAACACGATTTTAGACTGAAGTTGAACTACGTAATATTACAAATTAATTTAATACTAATAATGAGCATTTTTAAAATATTGTAAAGAATTTATTAAAATACCATTTCAGGATTTTATCTGTGATTCCGTGCGGATGTCTTTTAAATTCGTTCCAGCTTCAATATAGGACTATTCCAAGACTGACAAATAATTGGGCGATTTGATTGAATTGACAATTGTAAAATTTACATAAAAATATTATATTAGGCATTAAAATTTGCTTTGATCGAATATGGCTTTCTTCATTGATCTGAGTTAAATATTTCGCGAACAATGTTCATTTAACATGAGTAAACACGAACAAAAGTTATTTAACACGTGCGCCCTCAGGAACTTGAGAACATTTTGAAACTCTTATTTCAAAAGAAATCTCTTATTTCCTGGTTCTGTTTTGGTAACTGATGCTTCAAGACGCTTCGACGTGCTCCTTTTTGAAACGTGACGAGAAACGAATATGCGTGTAAAATTAGCCACGTGCAAGTTTTGCGAAGGCGTTAGGAAAAGGTCCAAGTTAATCGATTCGCTACTCCCTTTGACACCTTGACAAACGCAAGCATCCTCATTTGGACCGGGATCTCGTCGCGATGATCGAGGATCGGAGCAACCGTTTAACGACGTAACATCCATAAATCTCTCAGACACTGTGGAACGGTGAAGATTCGATGCGCCTCCCTCGCACAATTATCAGACCCATCGTTCCGCGGCGGGCAGGTACAGGTAGATAATCTTTCTCTTACAAAGTATCAAAACGTGCACTCATACGCGCATCAGGTACATGCCACGGCTGTCGATTAAATAAAAAATGAGGAGAGCCAGTCGGAACGAATGAACCATGCGCGAACCGGATTTCGTGGGCGCGTTTTACAACATCCTCGCGAGCGGAGGCGAGGAAGAGATCCGGCTGATTCCTGACTGCCTCTCCCGCATCGGTTAAGAGCATGCAGCAAATTAAGCGACGAATTACTGCTGATACAGAACTGTATGTGTGAGTGAAGAGGTGGTGATCGTGGGCGCGACTGACGGACTCACCGCGCACGGTGCATTCTTTCCTCAAACTGAGACGAAGAGGCGTCCCGTTTAAAGGTTTTCCTTTGAGGGTCTCGATCATCAGACTGATCCCGAATTGCGCTATGCCCGAATTGCCAGCGCAAGGTAGGAGAATGCTGAAATCTGCAACGGAAAAACAAAGAGGGTGAGATCTCGTTGTAACTGAATTTTCTCTACTTCCTATCTCTCTTCATTCATCTTCCATTCGAACGTTCGATCGTAAGCGTTTTTTATTTTAATTTTAATTCTTAATTTATACTGTTGAAATTTTATTCAAATTTTAATTCAATTCTTTGACTTTTATTTTAATCTTAAAAAATACGCTAGACCTATTATGAGAGTTTCTCGCAGTTCGATCCCTTTGGCGATATCACGTGACGTAATATTTATACCCGATCTAAGAAAAAATTATACTTATAAAGTATATTTTATATTTATCCGATTTGAGAGAGAGAACTAAAAGTATATTTTATTCTAATTACGCGCAAATCTATAGAAGTTTCAGATTTTATCGATCAAATTTTCGATAAGTTCTACAAAATTATATGATCGCAAATATAAAAATATGTTATTAAAAAATATAGAAATAATTATCTTCGCATACATTAAAAAGTCAGGAAAAACACTTTCTATTTCGATAAATAGAATCACAAATATGTCTTATTAATAGTTAATAAATAAAATGACACATTTCTAATCATGCAATCAGATTTAATCGAATTTCTTTTCACAGGACAAATTGATAATATTTATTCCTAATGTATTTAAGTTTACAAAGTTTAGTATTTCAAATAAAATTGAAAAAACATTCAAAATCATCAATGGCAATTTAATCCTTGCAAATGTAACGTCATAATATTATAACTTGCCATAATTCGTCGTATTAATTTTCAGATTGATTCGGTCGAACAAAATATTCTTCAGGCAAAGAATATCTTCGGCGCCTTCTCTTAGATCAGGATTTTACCGCCGCACGCCAGCAAAAGATCTTTACCTTTGACTGTGTAAATAAGACCATCAGAGCATAACACTTATGCAACGCCACATAGAGAGATAAAAGTTAATAACAAAATGGACGTATTTGCGAGCATGTGTACCGAACTCATTTTAACGTGTCATAGAATGTGAAAGTGACGTAATGTCGATAAAGATATATCCAACTGCAAGCGTGATTTTAGATTTATTCGTGAAAATGGCATTTTATCGCACGATAAAAGCCGAACGTGCATTAGATTTCAAATTCAATCTCCACAAGGCCAATACATATTAACTCTGACAAACGAAAACGCTATTAGCACGTTAATACTCATTGATGAGTGAAGCGAAAAATGACCGCATCAGCAAGCTTCATCGCAATTTACAATTATTCGAATTTTATATCATTTTATCTCGAGAACTAGAATAAAAAATTGCGGACATTTCTCTGGCATTTAGATTCCGACAATCTTTTTCTTTGCTGCAACATTTCTGTATTACAAGATTTATTGATTTTTTATGGTAAATATTTTGTTTATTCTTAATATATATGCTATGCTTAATGGATTTTATCTCAGAATGCTTTATAAACAAACTCTCAATACTAATAATAAGTTTGTTTCTTTTCATAAAGAATTCCAATAATACTGGGCAACAAAACCTTTTTTTGTATGCGAATGATTTGAGGAACACGAATCCGTTATTCGATTATTAGTTATTAAAAAAACATGACGCCAAAAATGCTAGAAACAATTTTTATAGTATTCATAACGTTGCAATACTAGCAGAAATCTTTTTTTTTTTTAATTTTTATTAATGTCACGTGAAAGTTTTATTATCTTTTAATTATCATTATTATTAATATCTGTATTAATAATTTTGTCATGATAATAACACTGGGCCATAAAATTTGACCTTTTTTTTTACATAATATAATTTATATAATTGTATTATGTAAGTACAAAAGCACTTTCCATCTTTCTACATAATGCAATATTAAGGATGAAACAAAATGCTTTTTTTTATGTATGACATGAAAAAACAAATTATTATGGAAATTGTTATATCCCGAAATCGAAAAATTATTCCGAAACGAAGTAAAATGCATTTTATAGTTAAAAGTTGATACTTTCGCGTGATATAAACCAAATTTAAAAAAAATAAAATTTAGAAAAAATAAAATCTGCTGCTGATGCTACAATGATGCTATGAAAATCCTAAAAATTTTTTTTGACACTATTTTTCTCAAAATTGTGACCGTGACAACCGAATTTGGACAACAAGATTTGTACTCAGCAGACAAAAATACATTGAAAATGACTATTCGTATTGCAAATTGGTGTTAACAATAATATGATTTATTTTTCCGAGATTTTTCAAATTAAAAAATACATTAATGAAAGTACTTCCCATCACTTGTAAAACGCTACGAATTAATTCCAACACCTAATATATATATATATATGTTTTTTAAACCACGAGTTCTCATAAAAATGCGAGAAACATTTATTTTATAGAACATAGTTAGCTTCTTCGCACATTAATTAAGTAGTTTCGATATTACGCCTTTATATATTTTAAAAGTGACACAACTCAAAGGATTAAGCTTCCCATAAAAGGGGAAAAACTATTTTTCATTCAGTTTGACAGAAAATTATTGACTAGTCACAAAATATCAGCAAAAAGAATATGTTGTTAACATGATTAAATGATATTTTTGTTATTTTCGTTTCACAATCCTTAAAAACTCATCTTTTTTAAATTATAATCTTTTGACGATTTTTTATGAAATTAAGTTAAACAAATTCGACTAATGCATTCAGTGCGTAGATCATAGCTAATGTAAAGGAATTGACGTAAAAATATGTGTGTTATAAATACAGAAACCGTGAAATATACTCTTCAATTTTATTGTGCTGTTAGATAAAATATTTATATATAAAATAAGAAAAGACGTAATCCGCTCGATATTGCAAAAATTAAATGAGTAGATGGATTTTTTTATGATATCGAACTAGTTAATTGTGAATAAATATGAGATACTATATTAGTTTAAATTAAAATTTTTCCTCTGCTCATTTTTTTGACCAATCTACTCATTTAATTTTTATGTATTTTATAATTCGAAATATTCTATTTTTACACTCACAATCAGATTAGGTCGCTGTACAATTTAATGTGCACAAATGCGCAGTAGTGAGAATTTGCTATGAGTTTTAATGATTGATAGGAAACGTTTACCTAACTTATCTGGAGACATGGTAGTGTCTCGGCGTTAAGACATCTATTCATACTCAAGCAAAAATAAAATCGGAGCGTAATTCGAATAAGAAGGGGACAGTAATAAAAGAATAAACGAAATTTCTAGGAGATAAAAATTGAAATAATGGAAAAAAGACGTTTATGCTTTTTTTCGTTGTTTCAATTTTCGCTTCTATTATATTCTCCCCTTATATTCAACTTACATTCTGATTTTTATTTTTTTCGCCAGGATAACAACTCGAAATTACGTTTTTTTTTAGTTGTGTCACTTTTGACGTAAGGAAACGATATATTTGAGATATCGACATATTTACCTTTCGGTCTCTTAGGCACTCGTCCTTCCTTTTTGATCGTGATCGATGGAGTTTTCAAGATGCTCTCGTCGTATGACTTTAACCGAAAAAAATTGTAATAGTATTTTTTTACTCCTGACTTCCACGTGAAATTCACGTGCGACACCTCGCTTGGGATAATCGGCAATTTATTCTCAAACTCTGGATCTAAAAGATAAGCGAGTACTCGGCCCTCCGCAATCGCGTATATTTCCATTGCAAGCCCTGCATTAGCCAAAAATAGTTTTAGTTTTACATTAATGTTTACTAATTTCTAATTACGAACGTAACCCGATATCGCGAATAGTAATCGGATTTCTCTCTTTTTCATTTACTTATTTAACGATACTTTTTGCATCGAACATATCAAAGGTAATATCTCAAATGAAGACTCGCTGGAGCAGCGATGATACGAAGAAAGGGGGTCACATATGAAGTTAGAGGGGGAAGAAAATAAGAAATCCGACTTCCGAGAGGATTTTGAGACTCAACAGTGAACTTCTGTGAACTGTACCGCTGAACATCTTAATTTGCTGCTGATCGATCCAGAGGGAGATATCACCGGACGGTTTGTGGCCGGAGTTCCCGGAGCGATGTTGATGCCGGGCAAGGGCCACGTCGGCGACGTCCAGGAGAAGGGCCAGAGCCAACGTCGCCGCCGCGGCCAGGACGGCCGCAGCCGATCGCATAATTGCCGGTCAGTACCGCCGCCGCAGCTGCTGTCGTCGTCGTCGTCGTCGTCGTTGCCGCTGCCGCCGCTACCAGGTGTTACACGCACACCGGTGTAAGGAAGCGTCTCGTCCCTTCGACCTTCCCCGGCAACCGCCGTGCGTGCACTGGCAGTTAACGAGCAACGTAAAACGTTCGCCTGGCCGCCTCGGCCTCCCTATATAATTCAACGTGCCGGCGTGCGTGCGGCGTGCCGTTGGCGATCCGACGCGTGAAATCGGAGGATTTGAGATTTCACGGGGCGCGCGCACGAGACACGATCGCGCGACGCGCGTCTCCTCCGCGCGGCGGAGATACCGGTGATCCCGCGGTGATTTCAACGCACGGTTGTCTACCCCCTCGATCGGTAAAACAGAAAGAGAAAGAGCGAGAAGGAGAGAAAGAAAGCGGGTGAAAAAGGGATGAAAAAGGAAATGAGAGAGGCGCGCGAACTTTCCTCTCTCGCTTGCGAACGGCGCGCGATGTGTAACGATGCGCGCGAACCGCGTCGCTCCGGCGGACTGACTGACTGACTGACTGACTCTCAATGAGAGTCGGGGCACGCGGAGCGAGTAGCGAAACCTCTCCGTGAAGCGAGATAGAGATCTCGCAGACGGACCCGGGTTCCGGGGGCACGCCGGGGAGCACCGGGGAGCGAGAGCGACGCGCCGCGAGTTAAGGCTACGTGCACAATGTATTCGGAATCTGCTTTGCCAATCTCTCTCTCTCTCTCTCTTTCTCTCTTGCGCATACGCCGTATGCTTTTTATTTTAATGTCTTAAACTCGGTTTAGATGATCTATAATTTGCGACGGAATTCGAAATATAATATATGCCGTTTCTAATTTTATCTGCCGTGTATTTTTTAATATACATTTTGCAATATGCATGTATATGTGCATTTTAATTCTTTCAATGTTTCTTGTACACGATGTATATAAAATTGTAAATAATTTATAAATTTGTAATTAAGATTCTGTTCTGAATTCCGGCGTAAGCTATAACTGATCGTTTAAATGAGTTTTATTGATATATAAATTAACATCGCTAATTAATATTAAATTTTTTCATTGATTAATTTTGTTAATAATAAAAGATTACTGAAGATTGTAAATGCGAAAAGTAAGGAATGAAAGTGATAAGTTTGAAAGTAAATCGAATATTCATTTCAAATTAAACTGATCTTCGATATGAAAGATTTTATGGAGCGTGTACTGTATACAAATTTCTTTCAATATATTTGTGTTAATTTAGATATTTAGCCACTGCGTGCACGCAATTTTAAGGATGCAATTAAAAAAATTTGTTTAAATTAAAATTTGTTCGTTTTTAAATTAAATTGTATATAGTTTTTATAATTTCCTAATTGGACGTTTTTTCTTTCCTTTCGAAATATCTGTCTGACTTCAATCGTTTTTCTTTCTTCCCTACAATGAATCGAATTGAAAAAATATACTATATTCATTTATCCGCAAAAAAAAAGAAAAATAGGTCGCTATAACGTTACAGTTTGTAACGTGATCTGTTTTTTTTTTTTCGAATAAGTATACTTATGAAATTTCATTTACATTTCTCGTAGCTATTTACATAACACCTACATATTGGCTAATACCTTTTAATCTTCAGAAATCGTTCAAAACAAATTTGTCAAAAATAGTATATGTACAGATACATAGAAATCAAAATTCGAATTAACTAAAGAAAATGATAAGAAATCTCGATGGAGGGAACCAGTTTTTTAACATCTTTCGTCTGATCGTGCCGGTTCTCTGTCGTCTCTCCTGTCCTCCTGCTCATCTCTTATGTTTCCCTTCTCTTCCATTTCTCATCTCGTCGACAATTGAATTTTACTTCCGTGTCGTAAATCCGCCACGTCATGTGCATCATTATTCTGTTCGATGTTTAAATTATTGTAAAACATTTCTGCGTATAAAAGATTGATCCAAGTTACAAATATAAAAGAAGAAAATTGTAGATTATTTGAACATTGAATATAATTGTAATAGGCAAAACGTTTTCTTTAATATACAATATTATTGTAATTTTACATACAATTTTCCTTATTTAAGAGTTATTAATTTTTTTTTTTATTATATTTCTTCTGCCATTACGTTATACATTCGATACTCACAAATTTATGATTCGCAGTAATCCTATTTGCAGCATAAACACGTGAAAAATTTACGACAAAGCGAAGAGCTTCTTAAGACTGATAATAAAGTTTGCATTCATCGATAATCGGAAATAACTGGATCAGATCTATTTCTAAATCCGATCTGGCAAGATAACCGGCTTCAAGAGAGGGCCCAATGAATAACCAATAGTATCCGTTGTATCCTCCGTGTCGAGGGATGGGCTATCTAACAAGTGGTCCATTGTTATCCTACGCGGCTGAGCTTTCTGTCTCTCCCATCTCTCGTCTTCTTCCTGCTTCTTCTTTCTTCTTCCGGTACATGCACTACGACCGTGAATATTCCGAAGAGACCTCGGACCGTCGCAAATTTTTGAGTCACGTTCTGAAACGTTGTAACTCCAAAATTTCACCCATATAAAACATTCGACGCGGTCTTTGCGACTATCACCTGTAAGATAATCTATAACAAAAATCTAAGCTCTTTTTATCTTGTAATTAGCCCATTAACTCTGGAGAATCTAGAAGCATATTTTCATTTTTATGAAAAAAAATTAAACTTTGAATCGCATTATTTTTTGCTTTTATTCATTTTTCAGTCGGACAGTTTTATGGAGAAATATAAGTTGTTTATATTGATAGAATGTTCTACATCCAGCAAGTAGATATCGCACAGATATATTTTTAAATAGTTTTATCTTCGCAAAACATTCGATATCATCTTTACGATATTATCACCTATGGATAATTTCAAACGTCCTATCTTCTAATCATCCTGTCTCTCATATCGCAGAAATTTAAAAATATATTTCGATTTCTTTCAAAAAAAATTAAACTTAAAATGACAATGCTGTGTTTGCTTTCGTTTATCTTTCAATTGGAAATTATATAATATAAATTTTATATTGATGTTATGATTTTCTATATCAAACAAAGAGATATCGCAGATATATTTTTAAATAATTTTATCTTCATAAAACTTTCGATATTATCATTTGCAAAAAATCTAAGACGACCTGATATTTTCCAATCAATCTTTCAAACCGCAAGAAGATTTATACCTGTTTATTTTTCCTATCAAAAAAAAAGAAATTAAATTAGGAACGGTATTATATATGAATAAAATAATGTTTGCTTTCGGTTAAATAAAATTATATGAAGAAGTATATAAATTGTACACCCAGGACAAATCATGACAACGTCAAAATGACATTAAAATGAATCGGAAATGATTGAAAAATGACTTAATAATCATTTTGAAGTCATTTTGACATCATTTTGATATCATAATGACTTGTTCTGCTTAAATATCAGCCACCTGTTGTGATTTTCAAGCAGAGATATTGCATAAAAATATTTCTAAATAATTTTATCGTCATAAAATGTTTGATATAATCTTCGTAAGTATCGTGTCTGCAAAAAAATCTAGCAACAAATTTGAGATAGTCTGCTACCTTCTAATCCTTTTGAATTGCGAGAATGTACTTAGGATATTTTCATCGTTTATACAAAAAAAAAAAAGAGAGAAAGGAGCTGAATTTCGAATAACTCTACTATTCTCGTTTTGATTTGCTTTTCTGTCGCACAGTTATATGATGTAAATTCGTAAATTCGTGTATGTACGACGCGTGATTCTACGCACCGCTCTCGGTGCAGCTCCGCGAGAGCGGCCGACAGCGAATTCAATTAGGATTGCGGCGGCCGTGCAAAAACATTCGATCAGGAATAAACCGGCGCTGCCTGCCTGCCTGCCTGCTTGCGGACGCTCTTATAGCTCGTCGCTTTCCAGTTCGCGAGCCCCATGTATAACGCGTATGGGATCGGAGATCAATCGTACGTTTTACCATCATGGACTCTTTCCGCGTGGCAGACACAGTGATTCACGAAAACGATCGAATCGTACTATTTTTATTGTTACGAATTTCTTTTGAAAATTCAAAGATGACTGTAGCAAGATATCGTTGATATTTGATTATTCATATATTATATATTGAATTAAAAGACTGTTTTTGTCGATTATTTTCTTCATTTATTAATTATTAACTTTAGATATTGTTTTGTGTAGTATACTTTATCAGTTTCGCTGTATTTCCGATTGTTTCAAAAATCTTCATTGGCTATGCAAAGTGTGCCTTTCACTGAACATGCCTCTCTTGAAATGTGGATTCTTCAGTTAAAATTTTTTACTGATCTTATCTTAACGAGAATATTCATTTTTTTCGAAATTCATTCGTAGTCATCATAATATAATATGTATACTGTTAAAAATATCATGAAATATAGTATACTTTTAAGTTACATAAATTGAATTTAACTTCACAACATTACGTTAAATTTAATTATATTACATTAAATTTAATGTATTTGTAACTGAAAAATATATTTGTGTGCGTAAAATTTAATGTATTTTTCATAAAATTTCATAAAATTTATACTTTCCATAAAATTTTATGTAGATTTACATGAAATTTAATACACACATTTATTACATTTAAGACTATTGTAGTTTTCAGTTAAATTTTTCATTACTTTACAGTTACCTCATATTCACAAACTTCTTTTACATGTTACTTAAATTCATAATAAAATTTCTAACAGTGTAAAATCAAGACACGTATAGTATTTTGTATCAAATATCAACAAGAACAATATTAAGTATCAAGTATATCAAAATTATAGCAACCCTCATGAAAAAACTATAGAGTACTTTTCATTTAACATATCAGATTTTTTTTTTAATTCCATTTGTTTTTATTTTTTCAATTATTTTTGTTACACTTTAATATAGATGATGTATTTCTACATAGAATAAAATATATTCTATATAGATAAAAATTGTTCTTCTTTAAATTAGATAATTTTCACATATTGAATCTCAGACAATGATGGATTTGCAAGCTTTAAGATATTTTTGTTCAATGCTAAATGATATTGTGGCCGAGCGATCGAAGTTACCGTTCGATGCATGCGTTCGTTTAACACGGCTATATTTCTGTGGACGCGGCTTGGATTGTGCCTCCCTTTAGTCTCCCTCGATCCTTTATTCGTCTGTAACCGCGACGAGGGAGAGGAAGAAAGAACTCGTAGTAGCTCAGATCGAGAATACGGACGCAAAAAACCTGTCCGGCATAATCGCATTATCGGTCACATCTTGCTCGATTTCTGTGTTCGCTTAGTAGAATTAAATCTGACGATTGTTCTATTCTTAAGAGAGAGAATAATGTATTGTTGTCCTCTCGAGAATAAATAAATAAAACTTGGAAGAAAGGTGCTGTCTAAACTTCCTATGAGAATAAAATGCGAAATACAAGACGAAAAGTACACCGTAAAATTTTTTTTCGTTCTTATTTTATATATAACTAATAATGTTTAATAATTTCAAAAATAATAATTTTAATAATTCTAAATGCGCGAATTAACGTCTTAGACGGAGAGCACAGACTCTTGCATAACACATAAGATATAAGAAATTCAGAGTTCTTTAGTTCATAGAAAGGAAGGAAACGAAGGATTTTGATTGGTTCATTTTATTATGTATTACGTGTTATGCGTTATGCACAAGAAAATGAATCAATCAATGTCCTTCTTTTCCATGAAATAAAAAACTCTGATTGATTGAATTATGCCTTATGTATTATGCGTTATGCAAGAGTCCGATGTGCTTATAGCGACAACTTATAAATTCAGTTTTATTGCATTGAATAGGAG